ACCTTTGAAAGAAGCCAGCCAATGAAGCACCTGCAATAAAATCATGAGGTGAGAATGCTAAGTCATAGGGCTAAAGCTACAGCTGTATTAGTATTACTGCAAATTGTGACAAGGTTCAAAATAACTGGAACAGCTAGAGCTCCCTTAATTATTACTTCAGTTCCTGACATGTTGAAATGCTGTTCTAAGCTCAGCCTTGGCAAGGAAATTGCCACATTTATTTTTTTCAGGAAAGGGAGCCTGTTGTTCAACTCTGCCTTCCTAAAAGCCCCATTAGGCTGCAAGCAAAAAACCCCTAAACACCCCGCAAAAAAGCCAACCCCCCTCCATGGTCTACTATCATCCTCAGGCACTGCTGCATGGATTATGCAGTATTCAGGGGTGGATCCTGGGGGTGCAGTGGTGAGGATAACCCCTTCCTGCCACTGTGCCTGGCTGCTCCAGGTGCAGGGGAAGACCCAGAACCACTCCTGCCCCACTCCACTCACGGGTGCTGGCTGCAGCTGTCAGGAGGGTAGGCAGGGGTGGTGGGGGTGGGTATGGAGCCCCTAAATGCACAGAGCTGGCCCCGAGCCAGCACATTTGGGGTTGGGGGGTACTATGCAGTACAGGGCCTCTTTTCCCCAACCTTTGCCCCTGCTCCTGGTTCTGGTGGACAGCCGCAGCAAGGAGCCTCGGGAACTCACACAGCCCTGTGCTGGACCCACTGAGCAGACTCGCTGCCGGCAATGACTGCACTATGTGGTTCACCTGAAATACCTGCTGCTGCCTCGAGCTCCCCCCTGGTGTTGGCATTACAGAGCCGCAGGAAGTGGGAGCAGATTTGCTGCTCCTAGCTCCCGTGTCCCTGCATGTGTAGACACCTGCCCAGGATCATTTACACGCGAATAGTTTACTCTCAGGTAAAATGATATCGGATCAAATGCATGTGTAGATGCACCCAGTAGTATCCTCTGATTCAAAAGCAGCCTCTGCAGGCTTAATGAAGGAAGTAAAGAAAAAACAGCTGTCTGCTCAGTTCAGCAGCCTCTCATCGGCAAAGAAAAGGACTGAGATGAGTGTCCCCATGAAGAAACAAAACCAGCTGTTTTCTTTCTGCACTGCTTAGTATAGGACTGAATATCCCCTGAAGACTTGGTTCTCCTTTTAGTCTCCAGTATAGAAAAGAGGATTAGGGATGAGGCGGTGTTGGAGGTGCTTGCATACAAATTTTCATCCTGTGGGACTCCACAGTTTTTAGGGCTCTCAGTTTGCCACCTAGTAAACACAATCATCTTGTCATAGTAAGGACACGATTATTATTTTTGTTGTATCACACTGGTTCCTGGAACATGACATTCCTTTTCTTTGCTCACAGGCGGATTAATGCCTGGGCCGGCTCAGGACAGACAAAACCAGCGTGTGTGATGCGGTGGGCCATGACTGCTGGGTACCGGGTGGGGGGTGACCGTGCCAAAGCCCTGGGAGTGGCCAGAGCCACCAGTGGCAGGGAGTGGAGCCAGACATGTGCATAGCTGGGAATTGCCGATGACGGGGTGGCCCCAGAACAGCCAGGTCCCAGCCTGACCCGGCCGTGATCCTGAGCACTGGCTGGGTGCCACTGCAGCCAGACTGAGCCGCGGTGGGGTGAGGGGCTGCCCTTGGAGCTCAGTCCATGCTGCACATGCCCAGTGGGCGCCAGCGTGGAGGGGTGGCCAGGGCTCCTGCCCTGGGCCTGGAGGGCAGTGCATCCTGCTCTGGCCACTGCTCCCACTGCACCAGCTGGGAACAGTGCCATGGCTGCAGGGCAGGGTGAAGCGGGGGAGGCAGGCTCAGGGCCCCATTGAATTTAAATCTGCCCCTGTTTTTGCTTTGCATGTGATTTTCAAATGCATACCACCTATGCAGTTTCCATGCACAGAGGAGTTTAGGGCATTCTTATTCTGATCAGTGGGCGCTCTCATTTTGAATGGGGGAAGGTTTCAAAGTTTCATAGTTGGTAGGGTCAGAAGGGACCTGAGCAGATCATCGAGTCCGACCCCCTGCCATAGGCAGGAATGAATGCTGGGGTCATATGACCCCAGCTAGGTGATTATCTAGCCTCCTTTTGAAGACCCCCAAGATAGAAGCGAGCACCACTTCTCTTGGAAGTTGGTTCCAGATCCTAGCCACCCTGACTATGAAGTAACACCTCCTGATGTCTAGCCTGAACCTACTCTCAATCAACTTGTGGCTGTTATTCCTTGTTACTCCTGGTAGTGCCCAGGGGAACAGGGTCTTTCCCATTCCCTGCTGGTCCCCCCCCAGTAATTTTATAGGCGGCCACCAGATCCCCCCTCAGCCTTCTCTTGTGGAGGCTGAACAGGTTCAGGTCCTGTAGCCTCTCCTCATAGGGCCTGCCCTGCTGCCCCCTGATCATGCGGGTGGCCCTTCTCTGGACCCTCCCCATGCTGTCCACATCCCTCCTGAAGTGCGGTGCCCAGACCTGGTGTTGGAGAAGATGGGTATCTGCAGTTATATCAGTTTTATGCAGCTTGTATTGGGTATGAGGATACATGGCATGAACCCCAAGCTCTGAATCAGGAACTTGGAGCTTGAGAAGGTGCCAGTGAGGATTTACCAGCCTAGAGCATCATCTTCTATTCTAAGCAGAGGTGCCCTCTTCTTCCATGGGGACAGTGGTATATTTGGAAGTGTGGTAAGATAATGGAAGAGAAGACGATAAATGTTTCTGAAAAGGGAACTCTACATTTTCTCAGATCTCACTTCGAGGGGATGATTGTGGCCTCAGATTTGGGAGGAAGTCAGAATTTGACTCTCTCAAGTCGGACATCTTGATATTTTGCTAAACAGTGTCCAAAGGAAGAGGGTTCTTCCTGAAGGTTACTGTGTCTGAAGCGTAAGTAGGCTTGGCAGGATTCAAATTTATTGATAAACATTGATTTCACTTCACACTCAAAGCTGGATGGAAAAATATTTCCATCAATAATAATCAACATTTATAGAAAGGGGACTGTAACAGGAAAACCTTAGCCCTGTACTGGACAGTGGAGAAAGAGAGTTGGAGGGACAGAGGGCAGAGGGGTTGAAGAGGAAAACAGTGGGGAGCTTAATGACTGCTTAGTTAAGCAATTAGCTGCTATTCCAGCCTAATGACACATCAATTAAGTAATGAGCTGCTCACACCCCATGTTCCCAGAGCTCTGGGAGTGCCACTGCCCAGCTTTTTCCTGCAGAATGAACAGAATGATATAAAGCAGGAGTGATTCATGGATTTATGTATATTTACTTGTTATATTCTGACATGTGATTTTATAAAGCTTTTAACAGTGTACTGTCATTATTAAATTGTCTGCCCCGACACCCTGAATTTGCACAATCCTGAAAATTGTAATCAATAAAAATCAAAATAAATGTTTAAACCCCCCAGACCCTCCCTTGCCCTGATTCATAGGTTCATTAATAGATCCATAGATGTTATGGGCTGGAAAGGACCCTTCAAGATCAGGTCCAGCCCACCTGCACTTGGGCAGGAAAGACTGCTGGGGTCAGATGATCCCAACAAGGTGGGTATCCGGATGTTTTTTGAAGATATCCAGAGTAGGTGATTGTACCACTTGTTGGGGAAGTCTATTCCAGACCCTGGACACTCAAGTTGTAAAGAAGTTTTTCCTTATGTCTAATCTAAAGTGGTCTTCTCGTAATTTATGGCCATTAGTCCTAGTCTTCGCCTGGGGAGCCCTGGTGAACAGATGATCTCCCCATCCCTGATATGCACCCTTTATATATTGATAGGCTGCCACCAAGTCCCCTCTGAGTCTTCTCTTCCCCAGGCTGAACAGACCCATGTCTTTCAGTCTCTCATCGTATGGCCTGCTCGCCATACCTTTAATCATAGGCATAGCTGTCCTTTGGACTCTCTCACGCTTCTCCACATGCTTCCTGAAGTGCAGTGCCCAGAACTGGATGCAGTACTCCAGCTGCGGCCTCACCAAGGGCAAGTAAAGCATGAGGATGATATCTTGAGTCTTGTTTGAGATGTATTGGTAGATGCATGCCAGTGATTTGTTTGTTTTGCTAGCTATGGCATCACATTGATGGCTCATGTTCATTCTGTGGTCTATCAAGACCCCCCGGTCTCTTTTGGTTGCAGTGCTAGTAAGTGTAGGACTGCCAAGCCTGTAAGTATGTTGTGGGTTGTTTCTCCCCAGGTGGAGCACTCGATACTTCTCCGTGTTGAACATCATCATGTTTTGATCTGCCCACCTTGCAAGCCTGTCCAGGTCAGCTTGTGTCCCCAGCCTATTCTCCAGTGTGACCACAGTCCCATAATTTGGTGTCACCTGCAAACTTTGCCAGTCCATTTTTAACACCTGAGTCCAAATCATTAATGAAGATGCTAAAAAGTACTGGTCCGAGTACTGAACCCTGAAGGACGCCACTGGTCACCAAGTGCCATGTTGACTCAGTTCCATTTATTATTACTCTCTGGGTCCTTCCTTGGAGCCAGTTTCCTAGCCACCGGACCACTGGGTTATCGAGGCCGCAGTTCTCCAATTTTACCATGAGCACATCGTAGGAGACCAAGTCAAAGGCTTTCTTGAAGTCCAAATAGATAACGTCAACCTCATCTCCCTTATCCAGGCAGCGTCTTACCTGATCATAGGAGGAAATGAGGTTGGTTAGGCATGACCTGCCCACAACAAAGCCATGTTGGCTATCTATTAGGATGTTGCCTTCCGTTAGCCTATTGCTAATGGATTCTTTGATAATTTTTTCCAGGATTTTTCCAGGGATTGAGGTCAAACTGATTAGCGTGTAATTCCCTGGATCCTCCTTCCTTCCCTTCTTGTAGAAAGGCACCACGCTGGCCCTCTTCCAGTCTTCTGGAGTCTCTCCTGAGCGCTACAAGTTCTCATATAGTTTTGCCATGGGTTGTGCAATGACATCAGCCAATTTTTCAGCACTTTTGAGTACAGTTCATCTGGGCTTACTGACTTGTAGAAGTCCAGCCTCTCTAGATGTTCCCTCATGAGATCTTTGCCAACTGCTGGTGGGTGATCGGCCTCAACTTGATCTTCCTGTATCCTCTCAAGCAGGGTGGTACCCTTGGACTGGTGGACTACCGATGCAAAGTAATCATTTAGGAATTCGGATTTCTCCTGAGTGTCAGTTATCATCTGTCCTATTTTGTTCAGGAGGGATGCAC